AAACTCCACCCTGCACATTAGCCCTGTGATCTTGTGCAAGCCACTTATCTCTCCAAGCCCACACCTCTCCCTCGGTAAAGAGGGGAATCCTAACAGTGCCCATTTCACAGAGTTGTTGCAAGATGGGGAGTAGAAACAAAATCCACATGTAAGTGCTCAGCACAGTACCCTGCACACAGCAAGTGCACACTAGATGTTAGCTGTTAGGCTGATTAGGCCAGCAGCGGAGGGACTGGTGAGCTGGACCACTCGTCAAAAGCAGCCCCTCTCAGGCAGCTTGTGAGTAAGCCACTTTCCCAGACCAAGGGTTCCCGGGGAATTGCTCGTGCTGCCGCCGCCTGCGGTAACAGGAAGGACAGAAGGCAATTATACAGCGTGTAACAAAAATTTCATTTCTAATGCCTTTCTCCTGCTGGGCCACTTAGAATCCAAACAATGACAACAAGGCGGGGGTGGAAATGAGAAGGGCAGGCACATTTTGAAGGAGCCTGGTGACGAGTGGACAGACCCCAGGACTCACTGTGGCTCCCAGACATCTGCAGGGGCGTGTCCTTGGGGCCATGGCTGCTGCTCTGTGCTGAGCTACAGCGCCCTGGAAGGGCCGTCTGCCCAGGCTGGCTATGGGCCTATTGATGGGCCCCTGGGGGCTGAGTCTGCCTGGATTCACTTATCATTCTCTATCTGGGAGCAGACTGACATCACTCAGAGTGCTCCAGGGAAAGCCAGGGGTCCTCCCTCATTCCCCTACCTATCACTGTAGACAGCAAAGCATTCCCCTGTCTCCTTCTGGAAAACGTGAAAATCCCTGCAGGTGCCATCAGATTACAACAAATCGGCCAGACTGCACGAAGCTGATGTCTAATACATACATACATCATTCTTTTCCAGGGACCGCCCCCCCAAGAGTTTACTTCTCGGTTGTCACCCCGCACACTGCTCCACACTCTCTCAGATGGCCCTGAAGCCTCCAGGCCTCTGAGTTTGGGACATTGCAGCAACATAGCCTCTTCCACCCAGGGGCAGGGGGAGTCCCCAGGCCCCAGTGCATCATCTCTGGCTCCTCCCTGCACTGGAGTCAGAGCCAGCAAGAGCCTCCGCTCCTCCGCAGAGAAACACTCCCGTGTCCCCTGGGGAGAGAAGAGGCTACACCCTCCCAGGGGCCATCCCAGCTGTGAAGGGTGTTGATTTAACCCATTTATCAGATTGAGGTGAAAAGGACAAGAAGAGGGGAAATGTACAGCTCAGAAGGGCACGTTGCTCTCCTTTCTTTGGACCCAAATGGGAACAAACCAAGTGGTGAATCCTGTAGTTTTACTCCTCCACCCACATGCACTGACACTATAATCAAGCTATTTTCCACACCTATGCATTTAAATAATATGATTCTATTGTTTAAAAAAAAAAAGAAAGAAATCTTCAATGACAATGGTGATAAGGACCATCGAGAGGCAGGGGTGTATTCATGTTGGCTTCTAACACTATTAGAGTAATTTAAAAGGCTGCAGATAATCTCACCCAGAGCTGGTGAATCGGCAAACTGCAAACCCTTGGTGTGCACGTAGCTACCCAAAGAGCTGGAGAGCTTGCACAGAAGCCCAAAGCCAAGTCTTGGAGTCCTCTCAGGGTCATGAGAGGCCCTACTGGAAGATGAGGGAGGGGAAGTATGGTGCTGGGGTTCAGCTAACAGAGAGGCTATAAACAGGGAAGGGTTCCTACTGAGGAGCTGAACCACACTGTGCAGCTCCTGCCGCCCATGGCTTTCAAGCATGTCCTAGATGCAGAGCTAGATGCAGAGCTCCGAGCCAAATGGAGAAGCTTGGGTTACCAAGCCCCGTCTTGATGGCTTGGAACTAGAAAACTTATGCCACTCCTTTCTGGGGGCACTTCAGTAATAGGAGAGAGCACACCATGTTTCTGGACTAAGAGAAAAGCTACCCCGTTTAGGAGTCAAGAGCATCCAGGATGACCTCTGAGGGGCCCAAATGATCTAAAGGGTTAAAGTCCTGGTGACAATGTCCCAGCAGAAATGGGACTGAGTAGGCAGCCATGCTAATATATTTCCAAGGCCTCTAATCTCAGGTTACTGTGACAACCTGACTCTGGGAGATATGGCTTGGGATTCTGACATTATAAAACCTCAACGTTGATTCTCCTCTCCTTTACCAGTGGCTAAAACACCTTCATTGCTGGAGATTCATAGGAAGGGAGAAATGGCGGTTGGCAGTCAGAAAATATGAGCCACTAGAAGGAGCAGCATTGGTTCAAGGAGGTCTCATTACCCTTAACCCCCACCCCACCCCACCCAAACTGCTATTTTCACAGCCATGCTACTTCCTCGACACCAATATATGACTTTCACTCACAGGGAAGATGAAGGCAGCTCTTTCTAGGCCAAGTCCACATGACTTTCCCCTTACACGTGTTTACCCACAGAACAGTGACCAATCTAAGACCAATCTAACATTGTCAATCTCAAGTGAATATGAGACCAGGTTTTTTTTTTTTATGAGATTCTGAGCTCCCTTTGTTTTCTCTGGTAGGAAGAGGAAGAGAGGGTTTCTTTCAATTTCAAATTCCATACATTATTGCATGTTTTAGACAGAAAGAATCCAACCTTTCAGGTGAAGGTAGAAAACGGACTAGCCCACAAGCATCTTTACTGGCCTTATTCACCCCTACAAACCTGCTAGCTTATAGAGCACAGGAACCAAATCAATATAGCCAATATGTCACTGCCAGGAGGGCACGAGTGGCTACCAGCCTTGGGGAACATGACGTGCTGCTAAGCTGAACTAATCACTCCTTGGCATTTCAGGAGCAGTTGGGTTAGCAGACCACAGTACATGCATAATGAAAGACAGTAATTCCCCCAAAAGGGGAGAGCAAGAAGAACATAGTGGGTTGGCCCCTAGAAGGGGGCAGATACTATTTACACAGGTCATATCGGTGATTCTTAGAGGCCAAAAATCTGTTTTAGAGAGAAAGAAAAAAAAAAAACAGGAAGATCTTGGCAGAGAGGAGATTGGGCTGCATCCTTGATTTCAGCAAAAAGATTGAATCTGGGGGATGGCCCCTCCACCAACAATGTCAGACCTGAAGAATTTAACATGATAAACTGAAGGAGGCAGAGGGGTCAGTTGAAGACCTGAATCATGCTTCCTCTAGTCAAAGAAGTATGAGCTTTTATGAGAGATGATTTCCTAACCTGCGTACATATGAATCACCAAGAAATATTGTTAAAATATACATTCCTGGGTCTCAGCTTGAGATTCTCATTCAGCAGCTCTTCAGAGAAGAAAAAAATTCCATTTTTAACCAGCTTTCCAGGTGATTCAGAGGCAGGGAGTTCATTAAAACAGAAAACAACCTTTGGAGAAATGCCTCCCCAGACCTCTACAACAAATCAGAATCTCCCATTTTCCAAGCATCTTTCATCCCCAGGTTGTGCAAGGAAAGTAGAAGGAACTCAAAATGTTCTTCAAGAGACCAAGGTTGGGGTTATCATGGCTCTCCCTTCGATCTATGTCTAACCCTCTCAAATCTCTTCCCTACCTGATGTCTGATTTCAGAGACGGCATCATTCCCACTCTCCACCCCACCCCCCCCCACCACCGATATGCTGGGAATCCTGAACACTAAGCAAAGAAGTCAAAGGCAGGAGGCTGGTACCCAGTAAACCAGCCCACTAGTTCTCTTGCAATTGGTCACATTCATCAAGGCCTCTCTCTCTCTCTGCCCACCCTCATCAAACCCAACAGCAACAGAGAGAAACATGAGAAGAATTATTTCTTTTTTAAGTGGTCCTAATGCCGCAGGATGAATCAGGGATAAGCAGAATATTTGCACGGGGTGGAGGGGTGGTAAGAATCACGGATCACCTAGTTCCTGGGAAGGAGCGAGGATTAATCTGAAAGGTTTACATCCTGGTCAAAATCCAGAAATGATTGGATCTGCAGAAGGAATTGGAGAGAGATCCACGAAGTGCCTTGTACCTCACCAACTTCGGGAGCCCCCATCACATAAAGTAGCGGGGCAACTTCACTCTCTCAAACAGCTTCCCTGTGGCTGCGAGCAAGGGCCTGTCCCCACGGAGCTGCGGTGCTGCGACTTGCGTCCATGGCGAAGCCTGCTGTGTAGACGCACACGCACTCTCTTACCTCTGCTCTTCAAGAGGAACCACTCACAGGCTGCCCGCGCAGACAGGGATGGGGACCCGCTCTGTCTGGCTCTTAGAGCTGCCTCTTGTTTCCGCACGCGGCTCTGTCGAGCCTCTTGGTCCATTCCAGAGTTGAACAGTCACCCTCCGCTACTGCCCCAAACATCACCCCCATTCCCCAGGTGGAGGTGAGTCTGAAACCTCAGCCTGCCTCCTAGATTGGATCTCAAACGCAGAGATGGCGAGGAAGACCGTAAACTCAGGACCAAGGACAGCGGCACCACCGGGAGTGGGCGAGGTGGGGCAGGCTCGGCCTTGCCTTCCGTCCTTACAAACCGAAAAGTCTCAGGTCGCGCACATCCAGACTTGCCAAGAGCAACCCTTCTCTCTCCCTGGAGGTTGGAAACTCTGGCCGCGCGCCCTGGGGTCCCGGACTTGGGTGCGGGGCAGAAAGTGCCCCCCCCCGAGATCGTCGGGGGCCGGCCGCCCCGCGAAGCCCCGGCTCGGCAGGGCTGGCTCTCCGCGCTGCGCGCTCGGCGGGGAGGCTGCCCCGGCACCGCCCGCTAACGCCCGGAGCGCGGATTCCCGCCGGGGCCACGCAGGGGATGCCGAGAGGGAGCCAGAGGGCACGATGGCCGCTGTGTTCCTGCCCCCCCTGGGCTGGCGGCCCCACGGAGAGTCGGTGGAGAGCCTGACCGCGGGCGGGTCGGTCCCAGGCAGACGGCGCCAGATTGGCCGGACAAACTTCTGGTCCCGGTCGCGCCGCCCTCCGAGCTCCCTGCTCCTCTCCCTGCGACCCGCCTCGGCCTCCGGCCGCCCGTCGCTCCGTCCTGCGCGCGCTTACCTTCAAGCCATAGGGCGCCCGGGGGCAGAGACGGCGCCGGCTGCTCGAGGCTTCCGGCTCCCGCCGCATCCACGCGCGGCCGCCCCACTGGCAGCCGTCCGGGCCGCCGCTCTCCTTGGCGGGTCCCTGGCTCCCGGCCCCGCCGCGCCGTTCAGAGCCCCGGCGGGCAGCCGCTTGGCCGGCGCCGGCCCGCGGGGAGCAGGGGACCGGCCGCGGCGGGGCGGGGCGGGGCCGGGCGCGGGGCGGGCGTGCAGCGCAGGGACCAGGCGCGGAGGCGGCGCGGTGCGCGCGGGAGGCGGCCGGTTCCGGCACTGAGGCTGGACGGCTTCGCGGCGCGGGAGCACCGGAGCGCGGGAGGGGGGAGGGGGCGGGGCCGCCCTGGCCCACGGGGCGCCCCGGGGCCCCGCCCCGGGGACAGGCCCCGCCCCGCCCCGCCACTCTGCGCGCGGCTGTGCGGGCTCGCTGCGCCCCAGCCTGCCGCGAGCAGCGAGCCGCTAGAGGTGGCGGTCCGCCCTGGCTCTGGTGCAGGTGGTTGCTGAGGCGGGAAGTGAGCGATCCACTGCCCAGTGCGGCCTCCCCAGACCCCCAAAGTGAGTGACACCCTGTATATTCAGGGCTGCAGGTGACCAAGCATCCTCATTGTCTGCTATTTCCCTCGGAGAAGTCAGAGGATAAAGGTTGGAGGAGGCACAGCCCATCCAGGGAGTCGCGTAAGGAGGAGCCATCCAGGGGGCGTTCACAGACCTCTGATCTTGGAACCCCTGTGGTCAGTTCTGTTGCTTGACTCTGTCAGGGGGAAGCCTGCTTGGAGTTGACCTGAAGTGGAAATTCAAAAGGGGGTCGGTCCCTGGGGTTCCAACTCGCCCTTGACTACAAACGGAGGTAGCCTTCAGCAGTTAGTTTTTGACTGCCTTCCGAATGCAGGTTCTGTGCCGGATCCCGAGGTCTCCGAGAGGAATCAAACCAGGCCTCTGTTGTCTCTGCCAGTGCGGTGGAGACCTCTAGGAAACACCTGGGACATAGCATAGCACCACAGCACCGTGGCTTAACCAGGGGCCGTGGAGCACAAACAAGGGAGACTTCATGGGGACTGGCACCCAGGAAGCAATACCAGTTCCCACCCGGGGGGAAGGCAGCACTACATGCCAGGAGGAGGAACCCCATGGGTAAAGAACTGACTGCACAGAGCAGGGAGTCAGTCCACTGCTGTGGGAGCCAAGCCACTCTGGGCACACAAAGGTTAAGTCTGTATTCTCCCAATGACCCACACGATCACAGAAGGACCTGGCCCCCCACCGTCATCGCCCTAGAAGGGGAAACTGAGGGAGGCTCAGTGAATTGGACTGCCGTTCCAGATTCCACAGAGATCCAGGGCTGGGCCAATCCCCCATCTGGGAGGTGCACACCCGCACGTTGCTCAAACACAGCCATCTCTGGAGGTAATTGGGGAAGGGGAGAGGCTGTGAGTGGGCGCATGGCACCTCTTCCCCTGCCCCCTGCCTTTGGCACTATCTTGGGCATCTGGTCTGCCCCCCATCGCTTTGCAGTCTTCATAGGGAGAAGATAATTTAGCAATCAGGAATCCCCACATTTTGCTCTATTTGCTTTTAAAGCAATGAAACATTGCAGATATTGTTGAAATCTCAGTGTTCTCCCTGGTCTACTCCTAGACCATTCTTTCCAAGGTTTAATCCACTTAAGGAAGGACTTGGTGCCTTCCAGCTCAGCACCTCTAGTTCGGTCCCGGGACAGAGCCACCCAGTGGACAGCCACCCTTCTGATTAGTCAGGGGACCTAGATTGGCGTCCTGCCCCTGTCACATACCAGTTGTGTGACTTTGGCTATGTAGTTTGCTATCTCTGAGCCTCAGTTTCTCCATCTTTAAATTGGAGCTAGGAATACGGCTCTCTGTGGGCGGCATTGAGGATAATAGATGAGGAAGTATGAGACAAACTGTAATATGGGTACCCCCTGGCTGCTCTGCGGTGGCCTCGCTCACTCAGGAGCGAGAAGGGGAGAAACATGACCTCCACGGGGTGTGCCAACCCAAGGGCACTGTAGCGCTGTGCTGCCGCTTTTACCCCAATCTTGCACAGCTGAGTGGATTTCACGCTGGCTGTGAGTGAGACGGATGGATCTTTTAGTTTTCAATTAGCAAACGCCTCGCTCTTTAAACAAGCAGCACAGCAAACAGATGCACTGAGTGATTGATGACAGTGAACATCTGCGGCCAAGCGGCAGGCAGCTCACAGCCCCCCCCCCACTCCCCCCCCCCCCCCCCCCCCCCCCCCCCCCCCCCCCCCCCCCCCCCCCCCCCCCCCCCCCCCCCGCCACTTCCCAGGCTGCCAGGGCCCTCTGGAGGTCATCACCAGCCTCCCCTGCTTCTGGGCAGCAGTGTACCCAGCCGCAGTAGGCCAGGCAGGGTGGCCCTTTTCCTTAAAGCTTTCCTGGAAAGAGTGACTCAAGAGCCTCTGTGACTTTCTCATCCATATGTCCCAGAGCCTCAGAGTCCAGAAGTTCTCCCTCATGTGCTACCTTTATTTGTACCTTTTTATTGTTGAAAGTGGTAAGCAAATGGTTACTAATGGGTGTTAAGGGCAGAAGATGGTGGTGGTTTTGTTGGCCATGATGACGAGGAAACAAAAAAACAGAGCCAACAGAGAATGAGGAGGATCTAGAACTTTCTCTCGTGCTCCAAGAGCTACCTTTTAGGTAGAGAATGAGGCATGGCTAGAGCTTAGAAGGAGAGCTCCTTACTGGCCTCTGTCAAACTCTGATGCACCCACAGGCACAGCCCCTCTTCCGAAAGTTATTCCACAGAAAAGAAAGGAAATGCCATGATGGGACAGAGAGGGGCAGAGGGGGGTCAGAAGCAAAGCAGAATTGGAGTCACACGGGACTTCATTCATGTCCTAACAGCCTCGAGAAAGTTCTCAATATCTCTGAGCCTCAGTGTCCTCAGCTGTAAAGTGGGCATGGAGATCCATACTGCGGTGTTATCATGAAGACCAAGGGGGAGCCACAACCAATACATCGTGGGGCTCGATACATTCTGCCCACTTTCTCCTCTTACAGGAAACTGCAGATAGAGGAGGCACGGACACCCAGTGTTCCAATTCTAGATTCCTTAACCCACCTCATCAATGAAGACTGATTTTTTTCCTTCTCTCTTTTGTCATGTAGATCCTAGCCATTTGCAAATGACTCTGAGGACAATAAGGTGGCAGTCTTTCTGGGTCAGAGGAGGTGGGGCAAAGAGAAAATAAACACGTCCTTTTTATGCTTTATTATTTCTCTTAAAGTGCCGAAAACCTCGGGGAGGTGTGGAAGTCTTGGTCACTGATGTCCCCGGGAGGCCACAGTCCCACGTCAGTGTGATCTAGTGAAGGGAGCCCAGTGCCTGAGGATGGGGTGAGGAAGGAGACAATCCTTCTATTTTTTAAAAATAATTTTATTTATTTATTTATTGAAAGAGAGAGAGAGAGAAAGCAGGCTCCATACTCAGTGTAGAGCCCAACCTGGGGCTTGATCCCATGACCCTGGGATCATGACCGGAGCCGAAGTCAAGACCCAGACACTTAACCACCTGAACCACCCAGGTGCCCCCAGGAGAGGTCTTTTTAAAAGGACAGAGGTTCTGGGTACTCTGACCATAGCCGGAGGGCAGAGGGAAATTACCCGTGTGCTAATATCTGCATGTGTATTCATGCAGAGGATGATTTCCCCACTCGAAGATTTCCCACATCTACGCAAAGTGGACCTTAATGGATATTCTTTGCCTCCTCCTATTTCGGAACAGTGAAGAATACAAGTGCAACCCCCTTTAAGAAAGTCTATTCTATATTCTTCAGAATTACAAAACAGATAAATTAGAGTGTAAATATCCATCTTATAAACGTATTTAATTGCTTGATGGGAAGAGGTCATAAAAATACACATTTATTTGTACCACCCACATTCATCGTCGCATTATTCATAGGAGCCAAAAGGTACAGCAACCCAAGTGTCCACTGAATGGGGAATGGATAACCAATATGGGGTCTGGACATACAAGGGAATAAATTAGCCTGGCTACAAAGTGCAGGTTTTCAGCACTTGGAGAGAAAAAAGTGGAAAAAGGGTGAGTTTATTCTGTTTTTGTCCCGCACTTCCTCTGACTCAGGACAGTTGTTCTCAGAGGCATTGCAATCCTGTCCCAGGCTACAAGACACCTGAAACTTGAAGGCATTACACTAAATAATCTGGTCACAAAAGGAGATATACTGCATGATTCCACTTATATAAGGTTCCTAAAGAAGTCAGAGTGGAAGGTGGTTGTCAGGGGCTGGAAGGAAAGGGAAATAGGGTGTTTGTGTTTAAAAGGTAGAGAGTTTCCGACAGGGGAGATGAAACAGTTCGTGGATGGATGCTTGCACAACACTGAACGTACGTAATGTCATTGAACTACACACACTGCACTACAGAAGGGTTAAGACGGTCAATTATTTGATGTGAATTTGACTATGATAGAAAATCTAGAAACCTTGTGGCCACTGCAGTTGCTATATGTGTGAAAACAAAATCAAATTACATGGAAATTACCAGGTAGATAGGTGGGAAAGTGACGGAACTTAGGAAGCAATCCATCTATATGTGACTTGCGAAGTTGTATAGGGGTAACATGATCAGTATTGCCTCCTATTTCATAAGCCTTTTCTGTAGATATTTCTCATCAGCGGTCTCATTTACCTCCAGTAGCCTTGCGATGTCGAGAATATCATTAATTTCAGAGAACCCCAGAGAGGGTTGTTAAAGCCCCCTCCCTTCCAGAAGATGGGAACAGACAACGAAATCAGGATGATAGCTTTACAGTAGTTTGCAAATGCAAGGACCATGCTACTCGGGTCTCTCATTTCTACTTGGGTACAAAACCACTCTCGGGTTTTGAGAGTGGAGTTGTGCCGTCCAGAGAAAGCTTTCGATAGTGAAGAAAAACCCAAACCGAGCTTTCTACGTTGAGGATGAGCGAATCAGGAGCCGAGGTATTTTTAGTCTCTGAGCCAGCCTGCGCCTCTG